AAATCGGAAATTACTTTGCAAATTTATTTTAATCAATACTTTACGTTGTGTTATAATTTCAAATTGGAATAAAAGTGTTTCGTTTCAAGGATATCTTGAGGCTCGTGTTCCCTACTTTCAGTCCAAACTTCAAGTTAAATTGTAACTACACATTACTGATATTAAAGAACGTACCTACTAAATATTTAAACCGTGGGGCATTACAGTAATATGATGGCGCACATACCGTAATTAAATATATCTTCCACATTTGTTGAGGTTTTATTACAAATTCGATAACTAATCTAATATCAAAGGAAGTTTCCTTTGATATTAATTAATGTATTGGAAGTGTAATTGAAAAGAATTCTATGAAACAAATACTTAACACAATTTTACAAAATATTAACGGTTATATTACAAGTATCAATTCAAACTGCCCGGTTGGCGCGGTGGCTGGACAACTGGCTGCCACGCAACGTGTCGTGGTTTCGATTCCCGCCCGGAACAACTCTTTGTGTGATCCACAATATGTTGTTCCGAGTCTGGGTGCGATGTGTATGTAAACTTGTCTGTTTGTAAACGCAACCCACGACACAGGAGACAACCCTAGTGTTGGGCAACGTTTTTTTAATAAAAAATAATAATAAAAAACAATTTTAATATTCAAAAGACAACGATTTGCTAATTACCTATATCATCATCAATATGTTCTTCCATTACTGACAGGTAATGCAGAACTAAATTAAACACCTATTGCAGAATGTAACATCAACAGCTTATAATGCCCACTGCTGAGCAGGTTTGAGCTCTCACATTGAGAAGGTTTGAGCATTAATCACCACGCCAGTTTATTGCGGGTTGACGATTTCAAACGTCTAATTAGAAATTATAAGTGTAGGTTTTTTCACGATGTGTTCCTTCACCGTTTGTCAGTGGTGTCAAAATAATATCCAGAAGGTAAAGGTAGAGGATTTTCCTATATTTTAACGATAACGGAATAGTTAATCGGGATTTTTGCGTGCTTATTTATGCAGGCGTCGGCTTAACTACAATAATAAATAAATGGAATTAATCTCGCCCACATCCTGTACTGAAGCTTGCACGTGGCAGGTATCGCAATTTTCATTATGAAACTATCTGTATGACATTTGCCCTTTGCTCACTCTCCAACCGCCCACCAGGAGTCTATAAATGGCATTGAAGCTTATGTTCTCGAGAGTTATGATGGAACCCGCAGACCTTTAGAATATCTACCTAATTAAAATCCATATATGTACCAACATGCATTAACTATTTTCTATACTATAAGGCAGTTCTTCGCTAGGTAAATATATGCATGATATAAGAAATGAATTTAAAATACCTATTTCATACATCGTTTTTGCCATTATATTTATTATTATTACTTATTTTATCTTATCGTAATAGAGATTTAATTGTAATAAGAATTTATTAAACTGTCAAACACCAAGCGGTCACCGGTGACCGCAACCTATTGTTCTATAATTGTGTCTGCAAAACCGGTACTCGACGAGTTAAAGTCCATCATCGTTACATTTGAGTAGACCTCATGTGATTAAAGAACCCTTCTGAAACTTTGAAATATAGAGTATAGTTCACATTGCCCTTTGAACGTAGACTGTAAATCTCAGTACTCCACTACCCCAGGCTGTGAGTGATGATTTAGTCATATCGTACCTACAGTTACGTCACACGTTCTGCGATCACCACTAGCCAGCTTAACGTGACCCGAACCCCCTTTCACGAGGGTGAACCGAGATCAACAGTTGACATTTAGTTGTTACTTGTTATGTGCCGGGATGTTCCTTATCACTTACCTTTTAAAAATCATTTTCCACATATGACATAGGTATTGCGTACCTATATACATAACCAAAAAAAAACATTAAGTATTTATACAATTATTTCTCCGGAACGTGGATAAAGGTCACGTCCCACGCAAATCTAGGGAGTTATCGGGTGTGAGGGGAGAGGTGCGGGGCGGTCGGGCACGCGCGGGCACGCCGACCTTGCCCGGCTGTGACTCTGCGACCTTGGAGCCGACCGCCCGCGCCCCGCGCGCCCCTCGTACCCCGCTGGGGGTGGCAGCCACCCACGCGCCCACGCTCGCCCCTCGCCCCTATCTCCTGGCCGCCCACGCTCTACACCTCGTGCAAAATTTAATACCTACCTATATTTCAGTGCAAGGGCTCATGTAACGAGCGCGGAAATAATATGTAATAATATTTATTACAATTCCTAATTCAATTTTCAAAGTCTCAGTTACTCAGTCAACCAATTGTTCGATAAAAATATTATTCACTGAATGTAAAAAACGTTTCTCATAACTTGCTTCAGAGTTTTCACTATGTATTATAGTTGTTCTCAGTATTATATGTGAGTGGCGCGCGGCGATGTGTCCGAATATCTAGACAATATTAACAATATAATGAACGTAAATAGATGTAAATATGTAAGTGTCCTGTTTCCGCGTGAATCGAGGCCCAGCCCGGGTTCGACCTTGTCGGCACAAGGTCGCGGGTAGCCTTATTCGGGGTTTTCCGTATACCTACCGCCTGAAGGTCTCTGACATTGACTATTTACAGTACAACAAATACCTACTCTATGTATAACAATGTTCAAGGAACAACGAGCTCGTTTATTTGTGTCACTCAATGTAACAGTGATATAATGGTAACACACACAAACATTGCATTCGTAATTATGGCATCTCTACAGGATGCAAAGCTTTGTGAAACATACTACAAAGATACTTCCCTTTAGGCTTGATAACTGTTGTCTGAAATCATAAGTACATGTGTCATTGATTAATCATTTAAGTCTGTAACTGATAATTATTATAAATGTGTGTTTGTAACCGATAGCTGAAGTAGTAAAATAATCAGACATTTTAAAAGCATTTCCTAGAAATAAAACTTATTATCTTCATCTGTTTTGATCACAACAACAGGAAGTGAAGGAATTTCTGCCTAACACGTGGTCGTGAATTTAAATGTATATATATAAAAGCTTACCAAAATTATGCGCCTCTATAAATCATCCCAGTGTTAAATCGATACGCAGGTAGAAGCTTGCATGGAAATTTCTGGTGCAATAATTTCCAGGAACAAGATGGCGGTAAAAGGATTATATAGATAGCTGTTGATGTGGAGCCTGCGATGCTGGGAGAGGTGCGGCTGGGGCGGCTGGGGTGTGAGGTAGGGCCGGGGTTACGCGTGGCAGAGCTCGGGCGGACGTTGCATCCTACCCGCGCGAGTCAAGTGCACGGCCGCGCACTGCGCCGGTGCACCCGCGCCAAATGTCATGCGCCTGACGACCACCGACCGGTCAATAACATCGGTTACCTCGGATGTCCTGCTACATTTCATGCCGTAAAAGGAAATTGCGGACCCACCCGATGTCATTCATCTTATAACTACGCACTTATCATTTTCACAATAACTTTACGCAGCTACTAAGCAGTCGTATCACAACATGAGTAATGTGAATAAATATGCTTATCAACACACAAAAAGAGGCTAGGGCGGTATGATTCTTTGTTATCACAATGAAAATCATTATCATTACTGAGGAAAGTCGTTTGTCTAGCCAAAGATTGAGGACGACTTGATTATGATTTCTGGGCTACTTAGATCTGGGTAAAAAAAATATATTTATGCAGGTATATTTAGAAATTAATATTCGCTTACGTAGATACGTATCTACACTTGAATAATGATATGTAAACTACGTAGTTTACGTATATTTTTATTATTCAAGTGTTTAGTTTAGACAATATAACAAAGTTACGATACTATACTAATTAATTAATTATAATAATTAATTATTACATTTAACGGGTTACTCATACAGCACGTAACTGATTGAGGCATAATGATTAAAAAAATATATTGAGATTGATTGTTTTAGTTTCCCCTACTTACCATCACTATGCCTTATGTCTTGTGTAGAACAAAGAGAACAATGTATTTCACTAATTCTGAAGACCTAGAAGGTTGTAGTTTATGAAATACATAATTTACAGGTAAAAGTATCTAAGGTTTTATGCTATTTTGCAGTACAGATGATCTTGACTAGTAGGAGAGCGGAACTATCTATCCTAGACCATTTATAGTTCCGAGTGTTTAAAGGAAATCAGCAAAAGCATATTATCATCTGCTCCATCTCGAATCTCGACTAACTTGAAGAACCGGAATAGTTTTGTGCAAAATATTTTTCTATTCGTTTATTTATGTGAAAATATTAATTTTATGTGATATTAATGATCGGTGCCTTGAATATGCGGACATTGTTCCGCAACCTTAACAGTAGAAGCGGTAATCAAATGCGGAAACGATCCGCTTTGGGTCGACAACCGCTGCGTCCTTCTCTGTATAACTGGCACTTTGAGTAATGTACGCAAACTTGTTTAGATATTTCCGTAGGGTCAGCTCAACTTATGCACACAGGGAAACCGCATGTGTACTTTTATACTTAGATTGGTAGGGCGACTCGGTTGGTCGCGTGATAATGCTGGAATTTTGATTAATGTTGATATGTGTAGTCAAGTATTCTCATGAACAGCGCTGGACTCACTTTACGCTTAATGTTTCGAAGTACATTGAATCCTAATATATTCTTTCTTGATTGAATTGTGTACTGTTTTTGTTTAATCACTTTGTTTGGTTGCCCATTATAGAGCGTCATGTATCCTAAAAGTGATCAGAGATAAATATGTATAATATGTGGTCATTGCTATTGTTGGTACACTGAGACAAAAAGCTTGACACCTGAGAGAAAGGTTTGTAATTAATACTGTGCCATGTATAGAGTAAGTCACTAAGTTTCAAGAACTTTCATATTTAATTATCTTTATGCGCATAGTGTCCCATCTATTATTTTGAAGGGTTTCAGTTGTATTATTAAAGAAAGACTTTGTTGTTTATCATTATGGCTTTTCACTTTTATATAAAATTCTACTTCTTGCTGATTCTTGGGTTTGGAATGAAATACATAGGTAATTTTTACAAGATTCTTTTATTTTAGTTCGACAACCTGTCATTATATTAACAAACAAATGACTGAGCACGCTCACATACGCACATACATTACACACAACAAACACACCGCGACCGGCGCTGCATTGCATTTATAAATTACACTTATATAGTCTTAAATTATTTGTCAGTCTATTGCGTGTCCTCTCCTCGACCGGCGCCGGCCACGCACTCACGCTTCCTAATCAAATTATCACATATAATATATTAAAACGATCTGCGAACGATTACTATTAACTAGATTATTTAATTTAAAGTAGGTCGGGGTGGGGTGGCGGAGACAATTGGCTCCGCGGGCCGGTCTCACGCCTCCAACATCTGCGGCATGAAAGAGCGCGGCGGCGAGGGCGACTTCTTGGACAGGTTCAGGGGCGCATCAGCGTCCGATACATCAACTTGTAGAGACATCACAGGCTGAGGCGCTGGCGACGCGCCGCGGTAGCATGTTAGCAGGCCACCGGTGCGCATTGGGCAGCTTTCCGCGACGGCCTCACCGCGCCGCATGTACTGTTGGATGATGTCGGTGCGTTTCAGCTGCTCGGGGGTCATGCGTGGCCCCTCCATCAGGCTCTTGGCCAGCACGGAGTGCGTGGAGGACAGCGAGGCTCGCAGCGGGCGAGGCGAGTGCGCAGGGTGCGCTGGGCTGGCAGGGTGCGGGTGCTGTGGTGGCTGCGCAGATGGCGCTGGCCGTACTACGCGGGCTTCAGCCTCTCCTGTGTCACGACGCATCGCACGGAATTTCTTGTGCGGCTTGTACGCCTCGTCCATTAGCGATGTCGTATGGTACAGCGGTGGAGCTTCCAACACGCGTTTGAGCACAGGCATGTCGTCGGCAGATGGAGGTGGCCGCCTGTCATCTGAGTGTTCCTCTAGTGAAGATCTCGGGCTTGAGCAGCCGGATCCAGGGCCAACTATCCTTTCATGCTTTTCATTTCCTGATTCAATACCAGAATCAGTTGGTGAATCTAATTTGCGGTAGCGAGGTGGCGGGCGAACTGCCGTTACAGTAAGACCGTTGTGAGCAAGATGTGCCACGCCGAGTGCCTCCTCGTCTACGGATCCTCGGGAGTCAAGTCGCCTGCGGCCAGCCAATGTGGCGGCCAGCAGAGGCGTACCGCAGTCGCCGATGGCTTCACCGGACTCACTGCTTGACACTGAACCGATGGGGCTGCGAGCCGACTCATCGGCAACGGGGTCACCCCAAGACATCACACCTTCTTCATCAGTCAACATCTGTTGCCGCAGTAATTCCTTGTGTTCAGTTCGGAATACTACTAGTTTTTCCGTGTGTAGTGTGCTAAGAGTGCGGAGATCAGGAAGGGTGTCCATTAATTCTCTAAGGAAGCCAGGTCGGTCTGGTCTGCTTTGGGCGATCACCGTTTGCAGGCATGCCTTGAGTCTAGCATGCATCCTTTCCACAAGTTCTACGTTACGTAGTCCGGGCCTGTCCGGAGTGATAAGCACTATAGCACAGAAGAGGCCGATTTCTGCGTCAGTTAAGTTCATTGAGTTCATGCGCTCGGCAAATTTGAAAGTTGAATCCACAAGGAACCGTGCATTGGCGCCATTTTGAATACTGTCCCGTTTCATGACTTGACCATTTAGACAAATTATACTATCAAGTGGCGCATCGAACATACAGATAAGCCGCACAAATAACGCATCAAAAAGTCCACTTTTGAGCAGCGTAAACTTGTCGTCTTGGGTGAGCAGCTGGAAACCGGGAATTAATCCAGCGAAGTCTATTACACCACGAATTACGTGTGCAAATCTCTGAGAGAATTCCTTCTCAGACTGTAGCTCTGGTGCCGGATTTAACGGGCAGGCCTAAAACAATGAAAAAAATACGTTAGGTATTTCTTATGTTCCAGTAATTTTAGTGTTTAAAAAGATTAGTTTTCTTTACTCTGTTCGTGTTAAGGGATAAAGATACTCACCATAGTGGGTAGCGAGTAGTTGGGACAATCGCGAGCGCGTGCACGCATTGCGGCAACGCGTTCTCGCGTGAACTCGCAGGTGTCTAGGTGAGCACGCACCACGCGCGCTAGTAATCGAGGGGCATCATCTAGCTCTGCAGCCGCTGCCTGCTCGTTTGCTCGCGACGTCGACGACTGTTGCATCGCCGCAAGGATGCGTGCTTTCTCCCGTTTGGGAACACGTCCGAACCGCACGGCTGTAACAAAGAAAACCAAGTTTAATTTATGCAAAAACCGTCAGTGACCTCCAGAGCTCGAATTGAAAAGCGGGCTTGCATTGAACTGGTAACTAACAACGGGAATGTTGCGCAAGGTCGTGACTAAACATACGCTGGGTTGCAGCTGTCGTTAAGTGCGCGCGTGTGCGGGTGCATGGCGGGCCATGTGCACGCGCAGCTGACGCCGCGAGGGTAGAGTTCATCGGCCGTCGCATCGCGCGACCCACCCTTGTCTGGCGCGGTAAACTTTTGTAAAATCTGAGGGGAACCCTGAATGCGTCTCGGTTAAGTGAACTAGTTCGAATGACGAGTGACAAAGCGCGAAATGCGAGGTCACGGTAAAAAGTGTTACGACTTTCTCGTGCTAGGCACGCTTGAACCAAAATGTAGTATCCGCCAGGGGCGCGAGTGGCGCTTGCGGCGTTTATGCGCGCACGTCGGTGAAAGTGTTTGCGTGCACGTCGCACGGTTGAAAACGAAAGCGGAGAGCGCCCTCTCGCCATTTCTCCTGACTTTCGCTGCGCGATGTGGGCCGCACCAGATGCACGATCTCATTGTTCACGACCAACAGCATTGATTTTATTTTTATTCTATGTTGGCGTTTGTAGATGTTATTATATATGTCGTTATATGAAATCTATTTCATTAACCTGAAGTTTCGATACTATTTGCATAACTAACGTTATAAAGATTTATTATATTTTTTATGTTTTTCATCAATACAGAATTATTTTCTAGTTACACTTTGGAACATTAGATTTATCCTGTAAGTTTTATTAAGTTTAACTTTCATGTGCTAAAGAAAATATTAAATGATCAATTACCACAATATAAAGTTGTATAATCATTTATTGCATGTAGTAAATATGTTATTTACAATTGGAAAATGATTATGAAAAAAATCATCTTTACTTAAGTAGCATATACTACAGTAAACCTAAAAACAACGTAAAACTCAAACTTAAATGTTTGCTACGAAAAACGTAGCACGCGTAGTCGATTGCTACGAGATTTTCTATACCTGCTGAATATGGATAAATATGCATTTATACAAAAATCTAACACTTTAGATAAATAATTTGTTGCTTGAATAATATATGTATATAAAAGATACCTACGTGCATTGTGATATTTCACAACCCCGTTGAGGATTCCTTTGAGAATTGGTAAATCTTCTCCCATGTCGGAAACCATTATAGTTTTTCACTATTACTAGTTCACAGCCAATGGCCACTGATAACTTATATGAATTGGTAACTTTACGTTAAGTTTATGACTAATTTCAATTAATGCACGATAGTTAAGTGTCACATATCACTTGTAAAATATTACAATATTTAATAATTTGCACATTCACTGTAATCCAATGTGTAGCAGTTATAATCCAAAGTTGTAGTTCGGCGCACCGCGATGTAGTTAGCGAGGTATACTGGAGCAGTCACCGTGAGCAAGTATCGCGTTCTCGTACCGAACTGCGGAGCGACTTAATAACATAGCGATAGCAATGAGGGCTGACGACCGGTGCGCGGGCCGGACTCCCTCGCACTGCGCCGCGGCGCGCGCCGAGCCAACCTTGAACTTGACGAGGGGGGCGCGCGGCGCGCGGGAGGGGGGCGCCGTCAATAAACTCCGCGCAGGCCCCTGCCCCCGCGCCACCCGTCCCCTCTCTCCATCACTTGCGCCACCTACCGTTTAAGCCTTGCTGATTTGACGTGACATGGGAATATTACGGTCGCTTTCCAAATTCAAACTCTTGGCTAATAAAAGTCGAATTTATAGAACACATTGCGCACGTGTTTATGTTTTGTGACACACTTTAAAGTGACTTCTTGCGATTTTCCAATTAGATAAGAAGTAACCATTAAGGTTACATCTTTTTGTCTTGTTATCAATTGCAGATCAGTCTAATAATTTATCATGAAATAATATTTTATACGTACTTATTGCATAAAATGCAAATTTTATGAAACATAGGCGCTGATTTAGATTAAAGCCTTTTATTGATTACTTATTATTGTACAAATAATTAGAACTAGTATTTTTGTAACAACTATTTTTGCCCGACTGAAGGAAGGTTATTGTTTTCCAATTAAGAAGATTTAAAGTATTTCATTGTAATTGGGTTAATTTTAGTACTACAAAAATGTCATTTTCAAAAGGAAAATTGAATAACATTTTCAACCACTGTTAGTTCTCGCAAAAATGTATTGGCGCTACTGTAGGATATCTCACACGCGCCATCTGTTATCGAGTAGCTGAACTACTATTACTAATGTACCATAGATATAAAACGAAATTCAGATTTTCTTTAGTTTTTCTTAATAATTTGTAATTAAAATAGTGTTCTGCTATATTCATAAAGGCATATATTTAATTTATTACGTTGGGTTCTTTTTTTATTCTTTGGTAGTTGATATGACGAGTGAAATATAGAAAGATACGATTTTCCTGTAACATATAGTATATGTATGTTATCAATCATGTTACCATTGATAGTTACATTAAATTGTTATGCAGTTGGTTATAACCTGTATGGTGCAACTAAGTGAGGTCGTCGAACTTCATAACGAAAGTGAAAATATAAATTTCACTCTCGCTCTTACGAAATGTGACTTTCTCTGCTTTCACCGGCAAAGCAGGCGGCGCTCAGCGTCGCCGATGTGAGCGAGTGTTGCAACGAGTGGAGCGGGGCGGCAATGTATAGCGCGGGCGTCGACCCGCTTAGCGTGCGCTCACCCGCGCTTGCATAACCGACCTCCCACACTGCGAGTTGTGCCCCACGCCCCGCGTCCCCGCGCCGTTCGCGAAATAGGATCTGTCCGCAGAACAGCACGCGCGCGCTGCACGGCAGCGTGCTCGTGCGGCATACTTGGCGACTACAATGCGAGCGCACGCCCGCGCCCGACCTTCCCGCTGCCAATTTCGCATGCATATTGCATCCCAGCGTATGTTGACCGATATGTCCCAACGATATCATCTGGTCATCATTCAAGATATTCATTTTTAAGACAGATGTATATTTTTTTATATTACAGTTGTTTCTAAAATTCAAGTTGAGAATGTAGGACACATAAATTGATGAAAATATTGCAATAATTTTAAATATTTTGAAGTTATACTACAAAATATACATAAGTATATCATGAACGTTAATGTTTAATGTTTTTAAACATTTTTTGTTTGTTTATCCCAATATTTTCATTAAAATAATAAAAACAAATATTTCAACTTACCATCTCTGCTCATGCCAACTGCGATGCATTTTTTCAATCGGCAATATTGACACCGATTTCTGTTGATCCTAAGTATGGAGCACTGTTGATTTTTTGTACAGGGTCTGTATTGAATCTTCTGTTGGATGGACCGCCTGAAGAAGCCCTGGGAATCACAGCGGCAGTTAGAGTCTTGCTCGTTGTCGGAGCCGTCATCACTGGAGCATCCCGAGTCACTGGACTCGCGGCGCCCTTCCAGCATGCTCACTAGCACCGAGTGCCGCTCGCGCAATTCAGCGCCCGCGCCACACGACATGTTACGCACCATTCACTACCACCGACTGCCCACTAACACCACCACTCTCTTCGCTAACAATGACGCGATGTGTACGTGCAATAAAGCTTTCGCGCACTGCACCGACACGGATGGCGGTCGACAGCGGACTGTGCGGGCGCTGCGTGGCGCGGCGCACAGTTACCCGCGCGACCTACTTGCCGGCCGCCGACCCACCCGAGAAAGTGAGAGTGCCCCCGGCCCCCTCGCGCGCTCCTAACGGTCCACGCCGCTCTAGAATGCGTCGCCGCCGCTGCACCGGTGCGCCGGATATAGGCCGGGCGCATCCCGGTGGCGTCGCGGCGCGCGGCCGTTCACCCCGGGTCGTCGACCGCTCGATTGCACAACCGCGGAGTCTTCCCCGCATGCCCCTCGCGCCCGGGAGCTGGGCTGCAGCCCGATTGGGTCGACGACCGGCTCTACGCCCGATGACGTCAAGCATGCGTCACGGCCTACCTCAATGCGCGCGCGCTTCCCTAGGGGCTGCACTGATCCAATTTAATTAATGGACCATTACACCACAATGCACTAGTGCATGTTATCATAAGAGTTACGTTCCCAATGTTAATTTATCAGACTTCTGTTGTCACTCATATGCCATGTTTATTATTTATTTTTACAACTATGACTGTTTTTGACAAATATTGTTCATTAATTAATATTTGAAATATTTGTGTATTACAAGATACATGAAAAATGTACATATTGTCTTATTGTAACATTTTCAAACTAAAGCTAAAATTTTCTGTATTAAAGTAATTGAAAAGTTATTTATAATTGGCCTATGTATTGGTATTATCTATCTGTCTCTAGTATTATCTGTATTTAGGAATGTTTTTATAATTATTTTATAATGTCTTGTAATGAAGGTAACGCTGGCGGGCGCGGAGGCTGGTGCGGGTACGGAATTGGCATAAGCGGGCCGCGCGGTGTTCGGGTCGGTGGCCTAATTTCGCGCTGCCATCGATCCATTGTGCGCTGTGCGAGTGGCCCATAATTGGTCGCAGCGCGGGCAGTGACCGGCCGTGCGGTCATTGACCTCCTGCCTCGAAAACAAAACCTTCTCTACCCGATTCACTGAACCATACTTTGCGATTGCATAGGAACTCGCGTTCATCTTAAACTTAAAAAAAAATACTTGTGTCGTAACGATCTACCATGAAGAATGTTTAATTAAGTTTGTAAACTATACTACGTATAGACTAAAATAGCTACGAGCAGCAATCATTAATTATATTAGATATTGTAACGAATTGTTTTCAGTTGTATTGTTATCTAAGTAGGACGTCTTTCTTTTAAATTGAATAATCTTAATGCCAACGACCGCTAAGTAATTAACACGGTGACTCCCTTTTGAGTCCTAAAAAATATTTGTTCTATACATGTGTCCGGTAGTCCGGTACTCAGTAAATTACATTGAACGCGTAAGTAGTCCGATTATTTTAGGTCACTTTGATAACGTAATGATTCAAATTTATTTGTCAGCGTTACTACTTATAGAAACACGCACGTTCATATATGAATTGGTGTCGTAAATTGTGTATTACTTAACTTTTTTTGGTGTAAAATCTCAGAATTATATACTGAATTTATACGTTGATTGCAGTAAACAGTGATAGAATTTTGGTTGATGTTACTTTAATGAATTTATTTACTATAAGCGACGGAGTTTTTCTCGTTTATTGAGAAAAAATTTGGTGAGTCATATAACGAGAGATATAACCATGAATAGCTATAAATTGGTGTACATATATGGATTGAGCTACGCTTTGAATTTGATTTGTGCAGTGGAAATTGTGTATTTTGTATTTATACATACATGATACATATTTAATCATTTATACTAGAGTTGCTAGGTGATGGCAATGACAAATTCTGCGACTTATGCGAGAACACCGTGATGTTGCCGCGTACTGTGACGCCAGCTAACGGTGCAGCGGACAACGACTCCGTTAACACCGGCTTAAGCTCAAAACATGCTGACGCATTTCATCGCTATATTTCCGAGGAAGCGACCGCTGACCGCCTGCTAAAAGTCCGCTTTACGTGCCTGGCGGGTCGCAGATGTTTACTTGATAACGTACGTGTGACTCACGTCATTGTGATTCATTTCCCGTTCACGTATCGCAGTTTTATTCTTAGTAACTAACGTAACTCTTATAAGTAACTTGCTGTTCCAATTGCAACATGTCCATAGTAAATGTTAAAGGCACTAAAATGTAGGAGAGGTGCAAAGTTGGTGAATCAACTAAACTGCAAAAAACTATACAATAAGAGATAAGATCACGGAATTGTATAGAATTTTCCTCAAAACATTTATGAGGGAAATTCTATACAATTCTGCATAATGTAAATTGTTTGAATTCTACAATTTACTTAATCTAAATAGTTTGAGTCTATTAGTGTATTTAGTATTTAATAATAAATAAAATATAGCACATAAACTAAATTGTTCGGTAATATTTCAAATTGAAACATGAAAGCAAGTTGTTATTGTAGCTATTGACAATACTGATAATATGTATAATATAAAATATAAATAATGTAATAAATAGTTATTGTTTAGCTACAATATGTATTTAAGCTAGGCATTAGGAATGAGTTCATCACTAGATCCAAGTTTGATGCTATATGAACAGGAAATAATAAACGTAAACGCAACAGTCAACGCGCGATGTTCTCAATAAATAATATGACTGCTTGGGGATCAACGAACTTATAAGCTGACAGTTCAAAAATAATGTGGGTTACGTTCACGTTGCGCGTACATTCGATGCCCGTAAAAGTTGTTTACGACGAGAAGAGGCGGCGCGAATGTACGCAGCTTCGGGCGCGCAATGCTAGCTTGCGAGGTCGACGGCCGCTCGCCCTACACCGCGGAATTGGTGCCGAAAAAAATAAGCGACCCACAACGCACGGAAATTATGTCGGCCAACGACGAGAACAAAGAAGTCGGTGAGCTCTTCCGACGTAGCAACATAGCGATCCAAATTTTACAACAATTCTTTTCATGACTCAATTTTAATAAAATATTATTTTTAGGAATGAGGTCTTTAATTGACATATAAGATTATTATAGCGGTCAGTAGTTGGATAGTTATAATCGTACAAATAAACATACTATTGTGATACAATGAAATTTTTAAAATTCCTCGTAAATAAACACAAGCATGTTATAGATGCAGTGCGGACATGGATCATCAATAATAAATAATTGATATTATGTTGATTTGAAAAAGTGAATAGTAACATTGAGTTCGTTGACTTCAGTGCGTACGGTCGAACACCCGCACCTCATATCGTTATAAAAATTACACGCTCACTCGTCGTCATTCATTCATTTAGTTTCCGTTCGTACCCACATCATAAACTGGTGGCAGCACTGTTGCGGAGCGCTCTGAGCGCCACGACATCTAGTGGCGAGTAGCCGAACCTTTTATATGAGTTGCGCAATCACGTCGCTAGCTAGCGCTTTTGGTGGTTATGTGTTCACGTATTGCGAAATTAGTAATGATAAATAATATTTTTGCTGCCTTTATTGAACATTGCGACAATTTTAAAAATATTTTGAAACAATAGCATTTTTATGGGGTTTTTAACCGAATTTGGCGAAGCTAAAAGGAGGGTTATGATTTTGTAAAATTTAAATTTTATTTCAACAAAAAATCGTAAGTTATAACAAGTAATTAAATTTTTAGGTAATGTATAGCCATATATTATATATATATGTACCTTAGTTCTACGGTTGTTTATAGTAATTTTGAAAGTGCTTTGGTCGTGCGCAGTACGCTACACAATTCCGTAGTCACTGAAGGACATGTTTTGTCCCGATCACCCCGATACTGTCCCAACTGAACCTGATCAAACCAGTTTATACTACACTTGCACTTCTATCCCTATCTCCTTTCTCGCTGTCACATAAACTTTATACAGTCAAACTTCTAATACATACAAAATCTTTCACATTAATGGAAATTATATTCTTAACGAAGGCTGTACGATATGTTTGAGGAAGTAATTATGTTGATCTTGAACGCTCACCGGTCACGTAATTCTCTGCTTTCACTAACAATAACCTTTAGTGTTAGTACGTGATAATAACGTTTCTCTTAATTCCTCAATTTATTAACAATTTACAATTATTATGCGTGAGTGTGTGAGTTATTGATATTCTAATTTCCTTACTTTTTACGTCGCACGTTGTACTGTTTACTGGACTATAATTTAAGTATTAAGACAATAGTGAAACCTGCCGCAATATAATATGGTATGAAATGAATAGACGACAAAGTAAAAAGCTATCATGGGTCATTCACTTAAAAAGGATGTTTCCATGCGTCTCGAGTACTCTCTCAAGTGTTTACAATCAAGGGTCGTCAGTCAGTGCAAGGAATCACGAGTCATGTGCTGCATACATAACGTTTACAGCCAACAGTACGGATGGATGTAACGACGGATATTACTTTATATTGACAAGCTTTATACATATTATGATTGACGTAAATTGGTAATACTTTAACCTTATTACTGATTGTACCAGTCTACAACTCATTATTTACCAATGCATATTATTTCACTGTTTATCTAAAGTTTAAAAGCGACAGCCGGTTCCCGTGTGATTGTCCCGACGCAGGTATTGAAAATAAAATGTTTAGAATTGGGGCGCAGGGGTCTGACCGTCCGCGTCGCCCGATCGAGGCCAGCAGGTACGTACCCGTTGACCCAAAAACCATTCCTAATACAAGTTCACACGTTACTTTTTTCTGATTAGTTCATAAACAATCTTCGGGCGCCATGGAAGTGAATTACATTAACATTTAGTAAGTAAATAAGGTCATCTGGTTGGAGTTAGTGCGGTGAGTGTTCAGAGATTGTGTTCCGCGTGTCGCGACCTTGGTGCTGAATGCTGCTGCTAACTCGCACCTGCTGCAGAGACAACTCGCGCGGAGGGAGGGCGCTCTCCTCGACGTGTCACCCGTACACACTTCCTACTTCAGATGCCCAGACTACCCGCATACTGGTATGCGGTACTCAATTTACCATATAATATCAAAATAAAGGCGTCTCTGACATCTTTTGTTATTTTATTTTTCTGACGTATTAGTGGTGGCAGTCAGTGTACAGAATTAAATCGACAATGGTGCTAGTGAGCATGTTGATAACGACGACATAAATTGATATTCAGTATTGTTTACATAATTTTGAGATATTTACCTTGCAACCTTCACAGGAATGAACGCCATAATGAAATCCACTAGCTTTATCACCGCATACGCGGCACAGCACCGTCGTACCGTCAAACTCTGCAACAAAACACAGAAGACTGTTATAGAGACCTGTATACGTAATGTGCGATAAATTTTATGGACGTTTCAAAGATTACAGCGTTAGTTAGCTCGTGCCAAACATCCTGAGTTGTGTTACAAGACGGGCGTGTGTAACAAACATTGCCGCGACTGCACGTGACCTTGTGCTATGTGCCACTTTAGTACGTGTGTGAATAATTACTCGCTGATTTCTGGTCAACGGATATTTTGGTCAATATGACAATGTGTGTTAGAACACGTAATGTTCTTATAGTCCTATACGTGATAATTGCTTACCTATTGATCAATGAACTGGAAATAAAAGTCAAATTTCAGTTTCGAAATAATTTAAGCATAGGTTGAAACAGAAGAAGATATGCATATGATAGTTGTAGTGTGGAAAGATGCAGATGCAGCGCGGTGTGTTGATTTCATCAGTTGCATTACACGTGAGGCGGGATCGCGTGATTACTTGGCTTGGCTTTCGTTTCAACTCATAACATTACTTCACGATAACAGACTTTGCAAGCATTTTACTGCCTTCTGATTTGTGTGAAAAATTCATAATACTGTTTTAGAAGAGTAAAAAACCAAACGCGTGTATGCTTTGTGTCGTCTTTGAGGCATTGAATAATACAATACCAAGTATAAAAACTGCATTGATTGTCTGAATACTCATACGACGGAGTATGATGTATCGTATTGCAATTTGCAACTCACAATGTTGCGTGCCTCAAGGTGACAGACACTTAATAGACTTTTTAGAAAGTCTCTACAGAGTCGATGACCCCATCTTCGTCATAAAAAATGTTAATAAAAACAACTAACTTTAGATAGTGCCCACTTATTTACACTATGTAATATTTAGTTAAGTAGGTCAATTGTATGTAACATGTTCCTACAACATTATTATCCAATAAGTTAATGGTATAAATAATTAATACCGAATTGTTATCGTCGTGTAAATACAAATCTGAGACTGTTTAACGATGTGAGTAATAATGGTTAATAGGTCATCGATAGTCAGCCCTCGGCAACAACAGGTGTGCAAGAGCCGGGCGGAGCGGTAGCGAGCGCGCGGGCGGGAGCCCCGTAGCCCGACCAGGAACTGGTTCAGCCGGCGCCCCGGACTGCTCTCACTTTCTTCTTCCAGCCATTTGTTTATTTGTTAAGGGAGCGAGCTCGCCTTTTGGAGGAAACTTTCTATTTCTGGCGCACACCACTCGACGCGGGTCGACGTTCGACGCCGTCGCTTTCTATAGTTGTTACTTTCTTTTTCTAGAGGCGGTATAGTCGCCCTCGCCGCAATAATTTTGGTCTCATCTCTCGTTACAGCTATGCATGGTGGCGACTGTGCCGCTGAGTGGGGAGCACAATAGAACAGGGAAAGCAACGTGAGACGTAACTGGTGCAGTTGCAACAGAGGCAGTAGCGTGCAGCCATTTCTCCTCGTATGATGCAACGCGCGCGTTTTTCTGGGTGGCGTGTGTGAGAGTCGGTCGTTCGTTACGTCAATTAAAAGGCGAGGAAAGTGCGCGAGAAAGTCTCTCGTCCACGTAACGCGAATGCCGGCCGAGCGTGCAAAATACTGACGCGGCGATCCGACCGCTGCGGATCTGTGTCACGGCGATGTTTGTTTGTAAATAATTACTGCTTGACGACGACCAAAATCACGTTTCGTACTTTATTTCCTTGTTATTAACACGTTTGTTTTATCTTCATAACAGTGGTTTCAATGTTATTGCTAGTTCATGTTTGAAAACGCATCCACAGATACATGTCAATATGGTGGGTATTGTGGTATTACGTGCTGCAGCGACTATTATCATAAATGTGCGAGTAATGTTGTGTTACACGCATTCAGAGAAAAGTAAAAGTGGCGTGGCAAGGCAGTTGTTGTCTCCAGTCGCGTAGAACCTGCTCACGCGCACCTATTACTTGATATTACTAAATTCTTACAGCATGAGAAAAGTAAAAGGGAATCATTAATTTAGTAATTGAAAGGGTTGGCATTGAAGCCTGAAGAAGAAGTAACGGTTGCCTCATTGTTATTAAGTTTGATTTTACATGGGAAAAAGTCACAAAAGCGATCGATAAAGAGCGATAAGATCATTAGGAATCGATTGCAAATATTGGAGAGCTCCCCGCAGTCACTTGAGTTGCTACCCCACCGTTTATACTTAGAAAACGATTGACATTGTTGTACAGTGCGTTATTGCACAAAGCAATTTTAATTGTTTTTCTCCAGCCCTTCCTGGTATAAATGTTCAACAATTCATCCATCAAATATTCGTTCTGCAAACGATTTGACGTTAGGTTAAAAATAATTTAGTATTTTGCTAGCTTTGTACCCTTTCATCGTTTCAGAATATATCATTAATCAGAATTTGAGAAGTCGTAATTAATCTAGCATGAAATACTATTGTGTTTTGCCAGTTTTACAATCATGTTTAAATGAACCTATTTAATAAAAATACCAATAACATTTCATTCCCAATGAAGTTTATAGCATAAAAAACCTAATTAAAATGAATCTTTTTCATGTTACATATATGTATTATCAATTTCTTTCTTGGACGTTGATGTTAGATTTCATTTCAGATGAATGTTATGAGAACTTGAACTTGAGTCAATATACATACTTTAAGCAGGTACTTAAATAAGTACGAACATTTAACTCGTCGAGTACCGGTTTTGTAGACACAATTATAGAACAATAGGTTGCGGTCACCGGTGACCGCTTGGTGTTTGACAGTTTAATTAACGTACCTATGAGGTAACATCTTGGTGTTAATAATTGCCATTGTAGTATTAATGTAAACTGTATAACAAATTGGAAATTCAATGATCAATCTACTTCAATTAAAAGACTTAGTATGATAAAACTAAATGACACTAATTACAAACTGAATGAACGTGTTGATAAACAATAACAAAATTATTTACAACAAAGATTAACATGACAACACAAGTATTACAAGTATTACAACACAGTTACGACATAACTATGTTATAATGTAAATAAACAAGCAAAATGTTTGTATCAAATGCACTACCTATATGCAACTCAGGTTCCCGTTCCTTGTGCACCGGACTCATCAAATTATGTTCAGCCGGCGTAGGCGCATCGTAGCGCCCGTAGCTGCTGTCAGGAGACATCACTAAAGTCATTTATATTGTTTGTTCTTAAAACTAATTATTTGGTCCTCCCCCACACTGCACTACACGTAAACCACATGGAGCCCACTGGCTTGAGACATTAAAACGTCCTGCGCGCTGTAACACTGAATATAGGACAGGAGTGCATGGGCCGAGGCGCGCGGCCGGCACGTCGAGGGATGAAGGTCGCTCGTCCCGCGATATAGCCGCTGCACGCGCCGCGTGCGTCTCACTCGAGCTCGATCGACGAACTGAGCGAGTGCCGCGCGCGCTCCTGCTCGAAGCCGTGCGAGTCTCCCCTTAAGAGTGAAAGTCTGCAAAAAGATCAGCGCTCCGTGCGATACAATCGCTTCGACGACGAAGCGTACTCGGCTAAGCGAAATTCACCTCTATAGGTTGGCTAAGCCTGTAGTTCTACGCTTCGCAGCGAGGATCGGCGCGCTTCGAACTCCGGTCTCCGAGGTCATTGCCGCGCCAACGGAGGACCAATCACGAGCACGTTCAGACGTGCGCGGCGAGCGATTGGAGGGCTGACGGTTCCTCTCCCCGCGCCCGCGCTCTAGCGCGAGTTCGTAGACCCGAACCTTGTGGCTCACCGCGGCCAAGGTCGCGCGAGAGCGGCACCGACAGAGAGACTAGCCGAGCGTTCGAGTGGGACGTAGCCGCTGCCGGTTGCGTCACACTACGAAAATATTTTTGGTGATGGAACGCGAGTGAACTTGAACACGAAATCGAGCTAATGGATGTCGAGCGCGGTGTAGGTCGCCGCGTGATGGACTGACCCGCTGCCGCATCGCCCTGCTTGCCTGCTTCCCTTTGACCAAACACTTCCGGGACTTTATCTATAATTACAACAATACTTTTGGGATGACCTATAGACCGTTACAGTCTGATGGTTCTGTAACGTGTAGGTACCTAACTACTTAGAAACTTACCTTCTTAGGAATCTTATTAATACCTATGTATAAATATTAATATGCGTATCTGTCCACTTTATGCATTAGTAAAATAATAAGTACTAACGTAAGCATAGTTTAGAATCACTAGTTCGCACACTACTTATTGTTGCAAAATAAAATTGAAATGGCCTCGAGTATGCCTGCCTGTCTGAGGCACGTGACATGTCATCGAACAGAAATGTAAAAGCACTAACCTAAAGCTTGGACGACATAGTACTACTAACGTGAGGATGATTAATAAGAACTAGGTAGATATCTACATAATAACAAGGAACTTTGTGTAACTCTACATAATACGTATAACCACCTTCTTGTAATTGATAAACAAGTTTCTTTTAACAATAGGTACATAAACACGACTTTATATAACACTGACGTTACAGTTGTTGCGATAGTGAAATAAGCGACCTTATGTAAAGGTTCATTAGGTGTTTATTCGGCTGTGCGAGTAGTTATTTACGCGAGATAAAACGAGTGGCGGTGGGCGTCGCGGCGGGTGAACGACCTGGAAATTTTGGCGCAGGCCGGTCAAGGCCACTGGCACGCGGCGCGCAGGCGCTCATCCACACAGCCTACTGACACTGGACTACTATACTCTTTTCTCTCGAAATTTCTTCTAGCGAAATTTATGCCGACCGACATCTATTGCTGTTACAAAATGAATCTAAATTCTGTTCGTTTTCAATTCTATAAAACACTGAGTAGTTTAAGAATTGGCACACCGACATTCTAGACACCGATACAAATAGTTGTACAATGAATAGATAGCAGTGTATTTTTTAACTTGATATTTATAGTGTCATATTGTAGGTTACTTATGTATTTCAGGAAATAAACATTGTGTGCTCTAAATATCATTACAATATAGACACACTATCC